ATGTGCTTCACATAGTGTGAGCCCCCTTTCAGTTTTTCTAATAATTAACCTCCTGCTGAGACACATACCAGTTCAAAGCCATATGCTTTGGGTTAAGATTAAACTAATGACAAGGGCCAAAGTCAAGGCACCAAGGGCTACCTGCCCCTGAGCAAGGAGTTGTTAGAACTGTGTTTAACATGAACAATTACCTTCTGACATTTTTTTTTCTAGTTGGAAAAGTTAGGACAATATAAAGTATGTCTGGGGTTAACACAATCCAAAAATCTCTCTTGTGTTAATTGACTAGCTCCTCCAGTAATGAAATCACGCTGGCATCACAGCAAAATAAAAGATTGTTTTCTATTAACCAAGCCCCGAATGTGAGGGCATGGGAGCTCCAGCCATTCTGTCTCTGGAAAAGCCAGCAGGAAAAGAGAAGGGTGAGGAGCACCTGGCAAGACATGCAGGGGCTTGGTTCTTTCATGCTGTGCTCTGATACTCACTGAGCACCCTATGAGCTCCACGCAGTGTTAGCAGTGAACAAGACAGCAGCCCTGCCACCAGGAGCTTACCCTGTAGTGGGGGGACAGTGGAGGAAAACAAGCAAAGAAAAAGGTAAGGCCGGGTGCAGTGGCTCACGTCTGTAATCTCAGCACTTTGGGAGGCCGAGGTAGGCAGATCACCTGAGGTCAGGAGTTCGAGACCAGCCTGACCAACACGGTGAAACCCCGTCTCTACTAAAAATACAAAAATTAGCCAGCTGTGGTGGCAGGTGCCTGTAGTCCCAGCTACTAGGGAGGCTGAGGCAGGAGAATCACTTGAACCTGGGAGGCGGAAGTTGCAGTGAGCGGAGAATGTGCCATTGTACTTCAGCCTGGGTGACAGAGCAAGACTCTGGAAAGAAAAGAAAAGAAAAGAGAAAAGAAAAGAAAAGAAAAGGAGAAAGGAAAGGAAAGGAAAGGAAAGGAAGGAAGGAAGGAAGGAAGGAAGGAAAGAAGGCAAGCAAGCAGGGAGGGAGGGAGAGACTGATCAGGTTGAGAAGCATTATCAGGAAATTAAATTTAAGGGATAGTGGGCTGTATGCATATGACACTTTGGCAGGTGGTGGTTATTGGGGAAGGCCTCTCAAGGAGAACCTCTGAACTGAAACCCAAAGGATGAGAAGAAGCCAGCATGCTGAGATCTTCGGGAAAAGGTTCCAGCCAGAGGGAACAGTCACTTGCAAAGGCTGCTCAGGCCCTAGAAAGAAGACACAGGTGGCTGGAGTAGTGGGAACAAGTGGCAAGTGAATGGAAATGGGTCAAAGAGGTTCGCTGTGAGTCTCTGCAAATTCTAGTAGGGAGCAGGAAGCCACTGGAAGATTTTCAAGTGGAAAACACAATCAGATTCATTTCCAAAATCTCGTTCTGGCCATTACATGGAAAGCGGCTGTTTCATGTGTGTGTTCAAGTTCCCAGCTCAGTTTTTCTATCCGGCAGCATGTTCCTAATTCACAGGCATAAAAAGATTGAACCTCTTCTTGACTGATGCTGACTAGTAACTCAGTGGCCCTTCTCCTACAATTATCTGGAAATTCTTTCAAAAATTAAGATTTAAAAATACAATTATTGGCTGGGCGTGGTGGCTCATACTTGTAATCCCAGCACTTTGGGAGGCCAAGGTGGGCAGATCACCTGAGGTTGGGAGTTCGAGACCAACCTAACCAACATGGAGAAACCCTATCTCTACTAAAAATGCAAAATTAGCCGGGCATGGTGGCGCATGCCTGTAATCCCAGCCACTCGGGAGGCTGAGGCAGGAGAATTGCTTGAACCCGGGAGGCGGGAAGTTGCGGTGAGCCGAGATTGCGCCATTCATTGCACTCTAGCCTGGACAGCAAGAGCGAAACTCCGTCTCAAAAACAAAACAAAAAAAATTACTGTTAATTTTTTAAAAATTGTATTCAGCTGTGCATGGTGGCTCATGTCTATAATCCCCACATGTTGAGAGGCTAAGGTGGGAAGATTGCTCGAGCCCAGGAGTTCAAGACCAGCCTGGGCAACATAGTGAGACCCTGTCTCTACAAAAAATAAAAAATTAGCCAGGCATGGTGATATGTGCCTGTGGTCATAGCTATTTGGGAGGCTGAGGTGGGAGGATCACTTGAGCCCAGGAGGTTGAGGTTACAGTGAGCAGTGATCATGCCATAGGACTCAAGCCTGGGTGGCAGAATGAGACCCTGCCAAAAAAAGAAAGAAAAGAAAAGAAGAGCATTCCACTTAGCACTTTAATGGGTCAGAATAATTTTCTAAAAAGTATTCATTTTAAAAATATGCACCATGTACTTTCAAGAAGCATTTGAAGCCTTTGTAATAAAGCCCACAAGCAACAGAACAACTTAAAAGTTCCCTCTGGGAAGATGTTTACCATATACTGGAATACATGTTACAATATCAGTTTGGAAGAGAAATACTAACATTAAAGAATCTCAAAAGCCTAATTTACTCTAAGGGTTGAGTTTAGCTGCACACATAGCCTCATCATGAGCTAAGTCCTCATAATGCGTTCATTTTTACCCACATCTATATTTATCTTACTCCATTCTCTCCCCGGCCCTTCAGAGAGCCACCACTTGCCTCATTTTGCTGCTCAGTGGCACCCCCATCAGAGACTGAGCAGAAAGGAAAGACTGGAAAGTCTCAAAATGCTCCTGGTTTGGCAGTTCCAGTTGTGTGTGTGCATGTCTTTGTCAGATGTGTGGTATGTATGTGTGTTGGGGGGCAGAGGGGAATTCCTGGGTTAAAGTGATGCTTAAATTTTATTTATCCATTCCTCTATGCTTCTACAGTGTAGAATCTACACACACATTCTCATTATCTCTTTCTCTCTCTCTGTCTCTCCTGTGTGGTCGGCAAAGCACTCAGACCCACAATGTATAATAGGAAAATCTTAAAATTAGATGAAGAGTCCAATTTCCATTTTTAATTTCTTCATACAGCACTCCTTTGTGCTGTAATTCTGCCAGTGAGAATCCCATTCTTTAAGCTTTTCACAAGGTGAGACGTAAAACTGTCAGACATCTCACAGGTAAAGTTCAAAACAAAAAGCAAAAAGTGCAAGAAGAACAATTGGTGAAACTTTTCATTCTTCCAGCTGGGTGGATTTTAAAAGGCCTTTTTATGATTGTCTGATTAAAGTTGATTGTCAGCTACAAACATTTTTTATTACAGCCTTTTAAAAATTTAGGAAAACAAAAGCACTCCAATCTTTAAGTATTTAACACAAAACTATCGTTCCCATTACTTTCTCCATAGTTCTCACCACATTCACTACCTCCAAGACTATTCATGGCCAGCCCTCACTAGTAGCAACATACAACAGATTTGCAGCAGATTATGAAAAATGAGTCTGGAAGAAATGCTGAGGAATTTTTGAAGGTTGTGGCGGGGGAGGCTGTGGAGAACAGGACTGCTTTCGTTCTTTGCCTGGTTTTTGGCTCTTAAAGTTTGTTTCAAATTGCTATGTTGCCCCAAATTATAAATTGCTTATGTAATTTAATGTGGAAAAAGGGGTGCGTTGTTTAAGAATTTTTCATTTGAGTAAATGAGCTTTCAAAGGAAAATCTCAAAGGAAACACTTTTAAGTAACTTACTTGACTATAAATTAAGCTTTCCAGGTATTCCTAAAAAACATCTTTGACTATAATAGGTGAAGGCTAGTCAAGTGCATTCACGACCAAAAGAGAGAAAATCTGCATTCTGAATGGAAATAGAAATCTTTTAGCTAAGAAAAAATACTTGGAATGTGTTTATTTAGCATTTCCCCCCTTTCTTTCCCTTTCGGGTAAAGCCTGGTAAGTTTATTCCAGCTTCCTCAAGAAGTGCATCAGCGATCAAACTTGAAATCTGTTCATCACTCACTCCCCAAATAAGCTGTTCATGCAGAATGAAACCGGCCTTCCTTGCCTCCACTTATCCATCCAGCATCTTGTATTAAAATGCCTGGAACAAGCCGGGCGCGGTGGCTCAGGACTGTAATCCCAGAACTTTGGGAGGCCGAGGCGGGCAGATCACGAGGTCATGAGATCGAGACCATCCTGGCCAACATGGTGAAACCCCGTCTCTACCAAAAATACAAAAATTAGCCGGGCGTGGTAGCGCGCGTCTATAGTCCCAGCTACTCGGGAGGCTGAGGCAGGAGAATCGCTTGAACCCGGGAGGCGGAGATTGCAGTGAGCCGAGATCGCGCCACTGCACTCCAGCCTGGCGACAGAGCGAGACTCGGTCTCAGAAAAAAAAAAAAAAAAAGCCTGTAACAACACTTGGCTGCGTCCAGATAAACGTAAACGCTGTCGAGCACCGTAAGTTCTGTTCTGCCATAACAGGAGTGAAAGGAACGCTCCCCTTTTCCAGGTCCCCACACTCTCTGGGTGCCTCTACAAAGGGATGCTAATAATGTCCGTAAGGGCCCAGTGGGAGCAGCCAGGACTGCCGTCCCTCCCTGGCCGGACGCTCGGCCTCAGTCTATCGCGGCTCCCGGACTGCAGCTCCGACTCCCGCAGCCCGTTCGTTCGCCCCACGCCGGTCCCTCGGGAGACCGGATCTGTGGCCCCCGGAACTCCCGCCAGATCGGGGCTCCACCATGCAACTCTGTCTAGTGGAAAGTTCTCGTCGCATTCCAGACCAGACCTGCTACCTACGTTCCACTCGTAGGAACTTTGGGACTTGCAGCGCGCCCAGCGGAGCTCGATTTCCTCCTCGGCGGTGAAGAGGGAAGGCTGCAGCCCCGACCCCGACCCGGCTTCACCACGACGCGCACCCACAAGCCGGGCTGGGTGCCCTCGGGACGCTTGAGGGGCCGCGGTCAGTGGACGGAAGGCTCGCCTGCGCCCCCTTCTCTGGCACCGCAGTGGGTGGAGGGTGTTTGCAAACTTGTCCAGCAGCCAGGCGCGCCCCTGTGGACGCGCTCACTCCCCTGAGCCCCCTGCTTCGTCCTGGGAGCCCCCACCCCCTCGCCTGGCCCCCAGCCGGCGCACTCACCTCTACTCCAGAGCGCGGGGAGGAAGAGGCCCAGCAGCAGCGGCAGCGGCAGCGGGGCCGGTCCCATCCCGGGGCTGCGGATCTGTAATTTCTCTCCGGACGGACGGACAGATGGACGTCCCGAACCTGCCCTGTCGCCGGCTAAGCGCGCCAGCGAAGCTCCCTGTCCAGGCGGCCCCGGCAGCGAGTGCAGAGTGGTGGAGCCCAGCGGCCGGCGGGTGGTGCCGAGGGCTGGAAGGGGCGGGCCGGGGGCCGAGCCGAGGCCGACCAGGGCTAGAGGAGAGGGGCGGGCAGGGGGGCGAGTCCCGGCGGGCCCCGCAGGTTGGAGTGGGAGGGGGCGGGAGGACGAGGGGGAGGAGGGGCGTAAAGGGGAAAGGGAGGGGGTTGGAGAGGAGGGGCGGGCCGAAGGCCACCGCGGGGCGCACGGCGGGGAGCTGGGAGGAGAGGAAGGGGAGGGGGCTGAGAGACCAGGAGGGAGCTGGAGAGAGAAGTGAAGGGGAGGGGCGGGCTGGAGGTCCAGAGGAGACGGCTCAGGCCGCTGCGCGGGTCCGGAGCCCCACACCTGTGGGTGGTAGATAGGGAAGGACAGAAGGTGGGAGAGGAGTGGAGGATGCCCGAGGCAGCCCCCAGACCCAAGAGGAGGGTCCAGAGGCGCCCCCGCATTCCAGGCTTGGCTGACACAGAAAACCCTGGCAGCGCCGCTCCCAGAGGCCAAGGCCACGGCGGCAGCGCTCCCTGCCGAGCGCTCCTCCACATCCATTCCGCTCGCCGCCGAGTGCCTCCTGGGTACCTGGCCCGAGGTGCGCTACATGGCCCTGGCGTCGAGGAGCTCACCGCCCCTGGGGGAGGGATTCCTGGGGAAGGACGCTTTGCTGTGGCTCCTTGACAAGCCAGAGAGAGGTGACACTCAAGGAGGGAGATGAAAGTGAATGACAAAGTGCAGAGCAGGAGTTGGGAGAGGGGAAACCACAGCACGTTACTCTCATGGACCTCCACAAGGTGTGCAGGGTCCAAGAGGCAGTAGCAGAGAATGAATCGTAAGAGAAATGTAACTACTTATACTAATAATGGCAACAGTAACTTAATTTATATACATAGTTTCTTAAAGGTAACACTTTTAGAATGAATGTATTTTAAGGTGGTCCCTTTAACAACGTAACATGAGCCTAATCATGTTGCTCTGCTCAAATCTCCCCAAACCTATCAGTGGTTCCTGCTGTCTCTCCGCATAAGCCAAGGTTCTGCAGTGATCTCCGAGGTTCTATGTGACCTGGTCCCCTTTCCTCTTTGGCCTCACCTCCTTACGCCTCTTCCATTTACTTTGGTCTCTTGTCAAGCAGTCCCTTGACCCCTACACTGGCTAGACAATTCCCCTGTAGATTTGGCTACGGGAAGGAGACAAGCAGCCCAGATGGATTTAGACAGGTTATTACTTACACCGACAGCAAAAGCAAAATCAGTGTGGTGTCAGCTCCATGCATCCTTAGGCCCACAGGATAACACCAAACTGGAAGGGCGATTGTTATCCTATGGGTCTACATGATTTAAAAAAAAAAAAAAGACAACATGAGCCCTGCCACTGAGTAGCCAAGTCTAAACTACACCAAGCAGTTTTATAGACTTCACAGGAGCCTGGTGCTGTATGCTTGGAGGGAAGGGGGCTGGGAGGTGGAGGGAGGGATATGGAAAGTCCTACAGTCAACTGAAACATTGGAGAAGGAAGAGAAATGGCCTTGCAGCAGTCTCCCGCAAGGTAGGGATGGGAAACTGCCTCCCAGTGGCTCCTCACCAGGCTTACCTATCCCTGCTTTAGGGGAAATCGCAGGGCAGTCCCACAAGACTTGGCTCAGACCATGATCATACCTTGCCTACATGGCCTCTAGAGATGTGCAAGATTGCCAGGGGCACCTCAGCAGAGCTGTTCTCCTGCAATTTCCTTGCTATTGCTCACATATACCAAGCACTCCTCCACCGAAAGGTTTTGCACTGGCTGTTCCCTCTGCCTGAAATGCTCTTCCCCCAGACACACAGCTTCCCAGTTGACTCTTCCAAGTCAGCTCAAATCTTACTTTCTTGTTGAGGCCTGCCTTGTACAATATTCTTCAGCTATCTACCGGTGTTTGACATACCACCCCAAACATAGTGGGTGTAAAATGTCAGCCATTTTATTAGATTCCTGGATTCTGTGGATCGGAGGTTTGGACAGAGCACAGGGGAAATAGCTTGTCTTTGCTCCTCCATATCTGCCTGGGACCTTAGGCTCAAATAGTGGGGATTAGAATCATGTAAAGCAAATTATAGCCTGCGGACCTATGGCTTCTTTTTGCAAATAAATGTTATCAGAACACAGTCATTGTGACAGAGATTATGTGGCCCACAAAGCTGTGCAGTATGGCCCTTTAGATAAAAAGTTGGCTAACCCCAATCTCAAGGCTCGTTCACTCACATAGCTGCCATTTGCACTGGGATGACTTGGGCACTAGGGCTGCAGACTAACTGGAGCACCTAAAGGAGGCTTCTCCTGGTGGCCCTTGGAGCAGCTGGAAGTCTTGCATGGCAGCTCAGGGCTCCAACGGCAAGCATTC